TTTGTTTTGTTCCTTTCTTTTTGTTTGGTTTGTTTTTAAAAGAATTTCAATATCGTCTATGAACATACATAAAACTATTAGTTTCTAATTAGCAACAATAATTTTAGATTTTGTCCTTTCAAAACTAACAGCTATCGATTTTACTTTTTATTTGTCAGTATTTTTAAAACAATTTATGACCATTAATAGCTATTCATCGTATCTTGTACAAAAAAAAAACTCATTTAGAAGAAAGGAACTCCCAGATTTTGTTGTTTACCGCGTCTTTATTGTCCAAATATTAATATTTCTGATTGATATTGGAGATCTCTAGTCTTTGATGTGAGTAATCATAAAATTTTGATTAAAACAATATATTCCTTGATATTCTTTGAAGCGTAATCTTACTTGCAACTGTATTATACTAATTTAAGAAACGAAATGATTAAACATAGCTGGTTTTTGCTAAATTTGTATAAATCAAATAAAACACTTTCATAAAGATGAATTATGTCATTTCTTAAAATAACGATATAAATGTGAACAATTTCTAAGATCATATCTGGTCAGTTACACAATATTGCTGCCAGCACCTAGAACATAATATTATACTTTTTTGGTTTTGTTTTGTTTATTTGTTTGACCCTTGTTTAGTGTCACGGTTGGAACATCTGGGAGCTAACTGCAATCATCATTTCGTCAACGGCAAATTTTCCCGACGTTCTTACAAGAGATTGCCGGAATGATCCGAGATTTTGTGATTGCAGACTGAATTGTGTGGCAAGTTAGTAACTCTCTCAAGACTATGATGAGACATCGGAAATCATAGGACTGTGCGGAACAGTTCTCTTAATGTCTGCTTCTGACTTTAATGTTACCTTGCTTATACATGTTTGTATAAAGTAGGGATGGCAATCGAATACAGTATTCATAATCGGTTAATCACAAGACGTTCCGACCGATTAACCGGTTAATCGTATCAAGATACACAATTTCTTTCAATGTAACAAAAAAAGTATTTCTTCAAGTAAGCTACATGTATTTTCATATAAAAGAAAACTAAAAAAAAAAAGACGATAATAAACTCTGTATACTTAAAAAAGAAAAAACATATAAAATATAATATTTTATTTCAATTGCAAATAAGCAATGAAAACTAAGAAAACCATGAAACATGCATGAGAAATCAGGCACATTGGTAATTTCACACGAAGTCATTCTGCATTGTCACCTTATAATCAGAACTATGATCACTTAATTTACCATGTTTGTTTCATATCATTTGATAGACAACTGCAAAAGTTATCCAAGAGAATTGGCATTTTAAGACGTATAAGATATTTTATGTCAAATGATGCATTGTTGAAGATTTTTAATACTATGATTTTTCCTCATTTTACATATTGTTGCACCATATGGAGCAATCCAAGAAATGCTGAAAATGTGAAAAAGCTTTTAATATTACAAAAAACGTGCTGCTAGGGTCATTTTGAACGTAAGAATTTTCAAACACCATCTTCTGTCATGTTTGCACAACTTAACTGGATGCCTCTATCAGATTATTTTATCTATAGAAAAGTCATTTTAGTGTATAAAGTACTACATGGATTAATGCCAGATTACTTAAATGTTTTTAAATATGTATCAGAAATTAGCCAGAGGCAAACAAGAAATTCCAACTCAAATTTATTGTATATACCCAGGACAAAGACTGAGTATTTTAAGAGATCTTTCAGTGTTTCAGGTAGCAATACGTGGAATACCTTGTGTGAAAACACCAGAAATTCAACAAGTGTTGATTGTTTTAAGAGAAACTATCTTAGAGAATACCACCATACATTTTAATTTTGTTTTGTATTTACTTATTTTATATTTCATATTTATTATTTATCTTATATGTACTCTATTTCTTTTAAACTTTGTTTTGCTAATACCTGTCTGTATGTACGAGGGCCGTTCAATAATTACGCGGACTTGTTGCACAGAAAAAATATTTGACGACATAATCAGGCAAAAAGTCGCACATAATATAAAAGAATCTTTACTTATATGGTAATAAAAATTCCATATCAAAATATTGCAAATTGATATCAATTTTGGGTGATTTAGCGGGACATACCATGTAGTCACGGAGCAGTAAAATCTTCGACGTCACGGGCATTATTAAAAATGTGAGCTTTCATTTTCCCAACATCTTCCCTCAGAATTTGATACTGTACAGCTTGGGTAACCTTATCCACTCAGCATAAACATCCCTATACCACTTCGGTCAAGCTTAAAATCTATAAAACTAGAATAGCATATTCTTTTTTGTTTTAAACCCCCAAACTTGCGATATTTCTGAAATATTGTGACGTTAGTCACTCTAAATCACGTTCTTAACAGTCCAGATAGAGTTTTCGTCGATAATCTTCTTCCTGCCCCCTCCCGGATTGCTTTTACTGAGGTCTAACCGTCTAAAATTCCACTTTGCTATTTGAAGACAAATGTCGGGAATATCCTGATTTACTACATGTTTCATCAAGCATATTTTGGGTCTATGTTGACATTTTCTCGAGCATTACACATAATTTGATAAAAGTGCGCTGCTCCGTCAATTCACGATACGTCATTTTTGCAGTTATTTTTGTAGGAATCGCATCGGAGAAAAATCACTATATATCTGTTCGCACTTCAAATATGACTTCAGAAATCTAAAAGCATAATAATAGAACAATAAAAAAGCTACCTTTGAGAAAATTGTCGAATAATATAGCAAATTAAAGGAAATAAATGAGTAATATTTTAGAATCCGCACGTTTGTTTTTCAAAATTTTTGTCGTGCTCCGTACATAACCATCAGCGATATCAAAACAGCAATAATTATAGGAGAAATTAATTCAGATCCAATAATGTTACCAAACATTTATTGGAATCTTTAAAAAATATGTTTCTGTGAAATTTCATTACTTTTTGACGTCCGTAAGAGTAAATAATAGCAGAGTCCGCGTAATTTTTGAACGGCCCTCGTATGTTATAATGCAGGACCATATTGAAAACTAGCATTGTTGCTAAATTATGTCATCCTGGATTAAAAAAAGGCTTTATTATTATTATTATTATTACGTGGTAAGATACAATTTATCAGTTCTCAGTACTCGAAAGTTATTTAATTAATATCATTAAAGAAAAACAGCACAGACTGGGTAAGACGTGGTGTTTAAATAGTAATTAACACTTCACAAGCTGACCAATTACATGTACCCCAAAAATCTCAACTCGGAGAGTCTGAATAAGCTCCAGATATGTGAAAACGCCAACTTATAAACGTTAATTTTCAAGAATTTTCATCGAAATTTACACCCATTTTATTAATTTTTTTTAAATTAATCGATTACAGATTTTCTAATCGATTACCATCTTTCCGACCGAGTAATCGGTTAACCGATTTACAAATTGCCATCCCTAGTATAAAAGAACTATGAAAAAACGAGTTGCTATACCATAACACCTACTAGAGGTGCCATTAAACCAAATCCGAATTTCATTTGCCGAAACTGATTCTAACATACAACCTATGAATAGGTCAAGAGAGTTCTTGAATTTGATTTACAATAAATTTGTAGGGTGTTGTATGCCTTGGTGTCAGCGTCCTTTATAGAGAGAGAGAGAGAGAGAGAGAGAGAGAGATTTGTTTTAGTTTTGAATTTTTTTTCTCCTTTTTTTTCCTACAAAACAAATTAAAAAAAATCAATAAAAATTAATAAGTAAATTATAAAAAATGAAGGAATAAATGTTCAGGGTTAAAAAAAATTCTCGTAATTTTATGAAAGTCAACCCAATCCACTCCATCCCCAGAGATTCGTCTTGGACCTGGGGTCTATAGCAGCCCTAGGAAGACCCCTGCTTTTGTCGTCCAGGAGACCAAATGGCCCTTATATCAAAAAGTAGAACTTCCATTCATGTGAGAGCTTGACGTTCGGCTTTTTCATTGTATTGTACGTAAATCAGTGGAATTATTCACCCACAACGTACTGACGTATACTCTGATACCTGAATCCATCTACACACTAACACTTAAGAAGTTTAATGAAATGACATATTTCGAAATTGTCTTGGTAATTCCATTACATTGCATTTTCAGAATTATTAATCATATGTTGAATAAAGATTCTCTCTACATGTAATATTTCTTCGCGGTTTTCTTAACAGATTTATCGACATTAGTGAGAATTGTTTTCCTTAAACATGTATATTAACGACAGTTAAGCCCCCAGTTTATAAAGAACTATATTAAACCTAGGGATTGGAATTGGTACTTACTTTTATTCTCATTTTCACACCACACGCATAGGCGCTCCCCATCTAATATTAAGTATATCATTATGACGAATGATGAGTCTATATAGGTATACCGCCTTTCTGATATTTTAAATTATCACGTGATACATATTTCCCCCAGTATAAATTTATTTCACAGAGCTGAAAAGTTGTCACTTCCTTTTACGGTCAAGTAGGAAGCTTCATTTTGGACTGAGCTTTGGTACATGGTTTTAGGCTCCCAGTGAAACAGTCATCGTCACGATTTTTAAAATATTACTTTTTGATTGAATGCATATTAATTGTATTTTCATTAGAAAATGAATATCACAGAGGGAAATTCAACCTTACTTCCCTCTTCTTCGCCCAGGAAAGGAATTCCTACCATTCTTATCGTCTTCACTTCTCTTCAGATGCTTATTTTTGTAGTAGCTTGCTTGGGGAACGGCATAGTTGGCATGGTTTTTAGCAGGTACATGAAGCCCATGTCTGCAACAACAAAATTTATCCTCTGCCTTGCCGTGGCTGACTTCTGTGTGGGCATATCGTCAGGTTCTCAAATGTTTTATCTGTTCTTTCAAGAGTTGTCCAAAAACATGTACACGTGTTTATTACGATTTCAAATTGTCTCCATGATGACTTTGGCTTCTCAACTGGCTGCTGGATTCACAACTTTTGATCGATACATTGCTATTTGTCATAATGCTTTGTACAGACGTATTATGAAACCATCAGTTGTAAATTCATTGATTGCCAGTTTGTGGATTTTTTCTTTCATTATTGCTGCTCTACCCTTTGTCTACTTTAACGACTGGGAGAAAGGTGTCAGATGCAGTTTTGCCTACCTTTTGCACGACTGGCTGTATCTCGTGTCTGGTGTCATTGAGTTTTCCTGCATGGCTATTTCGGTCTTTCTGTATGGTCTGATTTTAAGGAAAGCTCGAGAAGTGTACGCCAAATCCTTGAAGAAAGCAACAGAGGGTCCTGACAATGAACGCAGCAGAAAGATAATCAAGAATATCCGTTCAGCCAAGGTAATGGGGTACGTCACATTGGCCCTCATCCTGAGTTGGAGTCCTTATAAATTGTACCAAATACGGTAAGAAAATAATTTAATTTACTTTTTGTCTTTCGAAATATTTCTTGGTCATACACTGAATAGTATTGTAATTTAATTCACTGAAATTCGCAGATAGATTAAGAAAAGGTAGTAATTGACCGAATAGCGAACCAATAGATGATCCAAAGATTGACAAATTTCACATATACATGTACATATACCTAGATCAAGATGAAATATTTAAACTTTGTTCTTCGTCTTGACGTTTGACTTGGGAATTCATTAATTAGATATATTTCTCTGTTGAACATGATTTTTTTTCATCTATTTGAGATAACTAAAGCATCTTTTTTCTTTGTTGATGATGATTCCATACCATGATATTAGTAATCTACTTCATATCTCACCCATTAGTAAATCATAGGTATAATTGATTTATTCCAATGTAGTTGATCTCATCCTTGACCTTTGACTTTGTTATAGGTAAATTATTATAATCTCGCAACGAAGTTGGTGAGTATATAGTAACGCGCTTGTAAGTGTGTGGGTTAATGAGTGCGTACGTATAACAGAAGTCATAATATACATGGGTGAATTAAAAAAATGACCAAACACATATTAATCAACCTGCACTAAAAATACAGGCAATGGGAATAAATTTCTATGTCTCAGCATATGTCTTAACATAGTGTCTAAATACCTGCCAAATATCTCTTTGATATCTCAAGTCACAAAAAAGTTATGCCTAAAAATGATGCTAAAAATTTCAGGAGTGCAACACCTTTTTTTGACATTTTGAAAATTCAATATTGTTTGAAGATCTGTGGAAAAAAAAATAATGGTTTTTGTTGGAAATAAAGACTTTCCTGATAATATTCAAAATATTGAGCTTTAAATGTAGACTGTAACAACTTTTGTTTGACCAAGCTGTGGTCATGGCTGGTGTTGAAAAAATGTTATACCATGTCAGGAGTGCAATAGAAAAAATGTAGTGTTGCCAAAATAACATCGATTTTAAAAATCTGAAAGACAATTCAGTCAAAAAAGAATTTTCAAAGTGTAAAGCAATAATTGATATACAATTTAAAACTTAAAATGTTATATAAATCACAAGCAGCATTAATGAGAGTCAATTATCTGTGCATACCCAAGAATGTTAGGAGTGCAACATTTGATGTTTTGCTCCCCAGAATGAAAAAAAAACTTCTATCAGTATATGATTCTCTGGTTTTTTTATTTTGGAAAATAAAGATACAAAGAACATTTTTACCAAATAGATTTATTAATTACAGGGTCTGTCTGTGTTTCAGATCTATATTTCTATGGTCAGGAGTGCAACACATTTTTTTTTAAAGATTCAAGTTATATGATGAACTGACTTCTATTCATGCTAACAAATATTCTTTAATTAATAATGATTTATTTGAATAAGTTAGTACTAAATTATTGACTATTTTATTATTAAAATCATTCTCTTTCTCAATTTTATCAATTCAGGTGTGTTTTTATCTTTTCTTTGATTTTTTATGAATGTAAAAAATATATACACACTGAAAAATTATTTAATTCAAGTAATTCCATCTTAACTTCACTGAAACAACAGAACAAGTTCTGATGTAATTTTTGCTTCACAATTCTTCTTTATAGACTCTTATGCTCTTGGTCAGGAGTGCAACAAATATGTTAGAATTATTGCTGATCAAATATGAATAAATATGAAGAAAAAAATTGATGAGTAGAATGTTTCTGGTTGACCTCAGTTGCTTACAGTGTTTGTCCTGTGAAGGAAAATACACCTTGAAATATATTTTATCTTCTAAATATACATTTAAGCTAGTTTTTTTTGACATAAATAGGGGATAATTCAAGATATAAAACCAAGTTTAAATACTTTCATGTGTTTAATCATGAAATGTTGGACTATAAATATTGCACAATTTCGTTACCACCTGATGTTGCCGACACTTTATGAATTTTTGTGTTCTGTGGTTTTAAATTTTAATTTTACTGCAGTCAGGAGTGCAACAAAACTGTTTTATAATTATCAATGATCTTCATCTATCTTTACTAAAAGATACACTGTAAATCGAAAAAAAAATGTTTGTTACTATTTGATGTTCAGAACATATGTCTATATGAAAAACTTGTATATCAAAATTCTTTTTTGGCTTAGATTTAAAGAATTGACTTAAATGGACAAAAAAGTAATTTTGGAGGAATTTTATTTTTTATATTTCTTTTCAAACCAGAATGAAAAAAAATAAAGTGAAATAACAATCAAAAGCCCATTTTTCCCACATATACAAGAGAAGAAATTCAATCAAGGTTTAGATCTAATCATTCATATCCCTAATACCATTTTGAAGCACAAAAAACTATAATTTCTTTTGATTATGTATTTCATAAAGTCTTTCGGGATATAGTGATATTTTCTTTTTTCAAATAAAGTTTTACTTATAAAAAAATCTGAAACTTTTTTATCCAATTGTCTACTTTATTGCAACTTCAGGAATTTTAACTAGAATGCATGTACAGTATGATGATATAAGTGAAAAATATGTTATGGGTAGTTGAATTTTGTAAAAAAAAAAAAGAAAAAAAAAAAAAAATCCAATTTGGTGGTCATTATTTTTTAATTCACCCACATAGAGAATGATGTGCTCTTTGCGAGGGGATGCTCTGCTTTGCAGTGCCCCTGTTCACATTTACATCGGATGGATTATTCTGACCATTTTGCAAGGCTAAAATTAGGTAAATTGGGATGCAGTGTTTTCAATGCCATCACTGAATCAGTTACCTTGACCTTGAATTTTGAAAGTTTTTATGATATATAAGCGTCAACGTCTGTTATCCAACTGATATAAATACAATCTTCAAATGACAAAGGGTGCAATATACCTTTTCATTTGAATAGGTTTTTGATCTGCAAACCAAGAAAGGGTTAGTACAGGAATTTTCTAAAGGGTGGAGAGTGCATGGTGATAGGGACAAATTTCCTTTCCTTTAAATCCAACTTCAATATTTCCTGACAAGGAAAACAACTAAAAGCACTTTTATTGGGGATGACTCTATTAGAGAGAAAGTGAAATTGAAGAAAAATTTGATTCTCAAATTTCTATCTCGATAGGGAAGATCACTCACAGGGGAGGTTTAATATACCGTGGTATTCTTTTATCTGGGTTCCTGTTCTGGTGGGAAAGATAGCATCTTATTTGGCTACATCTTTGCAATGGAAAGACATAGTGATATCTTTAGGGTCAAATTCTCTTGAACTCTCTGCCAGCCATTAGTCCATGCTATAAAATCTGAGATTTTTTCTTATTTGAATCCATTAATAGGCTAATATGCATCTTACCAAATACCATAGAAAGAGTTTACCGTATGTGTCCCCTCCCCTTTCTGTGTTTGTGGCCTCTCTTACAGATATTTGATAATTGAATTCTTTTTAATTTTCATTTTCTCTTTCTCCATTTTAATGCTCCCTCCTTCAAAATAATTTTTATGATATTTGTATGACATGAAATTACAGAGTTTGACCTTTTTTCCCACCCCTTCCATAATATTCTTTGATCCGTCCTATTTCGGTTTGTTTTTATTGTTGCTTCTATAGGGTTTTTAAACCCAATCCAAAATAATACTGCAGGCAAGATGTGACAGTAATTAGTTGACAGTAACATATTAAGTAACTTGCATGCAGCGGCTTTTAGTACCAGTCAACAGTGCTGATAATGAGCGACTGCTGGATGTTGAGTTCCGTACATAACACCAATCTTAATTTCATAATTATCTAATCAAATCGTGAATACTTTGCAATTAGGCCATATTGTCTTCAGCTGTTTGTTGTTCATAAAACAAGTTTTTCCAAATTAACTTTTCAGAGCGAGAAGAGCAAGCCTTTTGTGTTTGTTATTTACTTGTTTTCTAAGATTTTTATTTTTTGATTGCCAGATATGGTTTTGGTATGACATCGGATTTTAGCTTCAACCTCTCTAGCTGGCTTGTATTTTTGGGGATCTTCAACAGCGTGATGAACCCTTTCATCTACGCATACCAACGACAAGACTTCAGAAAAGGATGCCAAAAGTTATTTGGTTGCTATGGACAGGAAAGATCGTCAAATACATCGAACGTAGAGGAGTCGAGTCGTTATTAACGAACTGATATGAATGATTGTAATAAATATCAAAAATTATAATTGTATTAAATTTCAAATTTAAGCAAAAATTTTCTCGAAACTAGGTAAACAAATAATAATAATGATAATAAATGAATAAAACAATACTCGTATTTAGAAATTTTAATGGTATATAAAGACGGTACTTCTTTTCCGCGATTATATTTTGTGCTTAACCGCGACTTTTTTCCCCTACCTCTCCCGTTAGCCAGGTAAAATTTGTTGTCCCTTGCTTTCCACGGGGAGGTGGAAGTAAGATTTTAAGCAATACAAATCTTGTAAAACACTAGATAAGAAGTTTGGTTCAGATAGGCCTCATAATTTCTAGGTAATGGACCTACTCCAAAAACTTTAACCTGGTCACTCATCTGGAAAATGTAGGTCAGATCCAGCATCCGAAGCAACTTCAGTAGTGTGCATCCTTAGATGTATCATCCATGCAAGTTTGCTAGGGCTTATAGTTTCTTGAAAATGAGACTTGCTCCATAAACTTTAACCTAGTCACTCATCCGGAAAAAGTACCTGGATGTATCATCCATGCAAGTTTGGTCAATATAGGGCTTATAGTTACCTGGAAATGAGATCTGCTCCAAAAACTTTAACCTTGTCACTCATTCGGAAAATGTAGGTCAGATTCAGCATCTGGTAGTGTGCATCCTTAGATGTATCATCCATTTAAGTTTGGTCAATATATACCTCCTCCAAAAACATTAACCTAGTCATTTTTCAGCTGAAATTGCAGCATCTTAAACCTTGACTGGTACAATAAAACATACTAGAGGCATCCTCCATGCATCTCTGATTAATATTGGGCATAGAAGTACATGTACTTTAAAAGAAATCTGTTCCAGAAATTTTAACCTGGAACGCCGACGGTATTACATAAGCTCCCATAAACTTCGTTGAGGTGAGCTAAAAACCAATCGCGGAAAAGCAGTATGGAGTAGTCGCGGAAAAGCAGACAGGTAGCGAAAATAAAATCGCGGAAAAGCAGGTCACCCACCTAGATCACTGGCATTGTATTGTGTTTTAAATAGGTAATTTTGTCATTCCTGAGATTTTGTACATTTGTAATTTGCATTTGGTAACTATTTACGCTCTCTCTCTCTCTCTCTCTCTCTCTCTCTCTCTCTCTCTCTCTCCATGGCCTCATTCACTCATTCCTACTCAGTGACTTTGTACAATGGTTAAAATATTTTTAAATGAAATCTAGTGTTTTTGAAATAAATGATACTGCTAAGCGTACTAAATGTTAAGGAACTTTGTAATCTCGGAAAATATTTCTATTAAGCCTCCTTAAATTAATGATTTGTAGTTCTAAAAAGTTTCATAATTACAATAAAACAATCTATGTATTTCTTGCTATTTATCTATTATGCCCACTATCATGTTGTATAACATTGTATAAAATTGTATGTATTTAGTAATTTACTATGTATTCTACAAAAGCCTGTGAGGATCAATAAATGTGGGGAAAATGTTAAAAGGCGTTATAAAGCAAGGTGGAAAGATGTGCAGTGAATGCAGAACTTTTGAAAAATCATGACACCTCGATCAAAGCCTAGGATGGGGCTCAGCTGGTCATATATTGAAAATTTGTTTCACATTTGACAATCCTTTTCTTTCCTCTGGTAAATCGGAAAATAGAACGTCATTTATACAGGAAATTAAATTTCCATAAGTCTGCGCTACTGTTATATAAGTAAGTTCTTAGTTTTATAACAGTAGCAGACACATGGAAATTTAATTTCCTTTAAAATTGACGTGCTATTTTCCGATTTTGACATGAGAACATGAACAAATTACATTGTATTGTTGGTATATCATACCATTTTTGTCGTTGTATGTTGTTTATTAAAGTGTACAGAGACCAGTCTTTTTTCTCCTTTCTTCAGTTCATGCAATTCAAATTATTCATTCAAAACATTGTAAATGATTAAATGGTACAAATTTACAGACATATGATAACTAGTACGAAAGCCCATTGAGCTCATTTTCGTAGGTTAAAAACATTTTATGCGTTATAACGCGAAAGTTACGCGTTTATTTGCGAAAGATTCGCGTTAAAATGCGAAAGTTTTGCGTTAATTCGCGAGAGTTACGCGTTATAACGCGAAAGTTACAAGTTTATTCGCAAAAGTTTCGAGTTATAACGCGAGAAATATTTTTTACCTACCAAAATGAGCTCAGTGGGCTTCCCACAATGGGCTTTCGTAATAATAGCGTGAATCAAGCATGGGGTGTCAATAAAGTTTAGGTAGAACAGACAAAACTATTTATTTTAATAGAAAATTTGCATTCTTTTTTTCCATGCAGTTCATTGCTTTCTAAAAGCAATGATCCTGTACAGATTTGAAAAAAGGTTTCGGCAAAGCTCGAAATACGGTCTGTGTAGCACTTCACAATTTAGATTAAAAATTCAAATGATTTACACTTTCAGTTGACGACGTTTTTAAAAGACGAAAATCGTTACTAAATTATTTTAGGCATACTAAAAGTTCTGAACAATAGATGGATTAAAAACTCAAAAGTTCAAAATACAGAATTGGCTCTTTTGAAATTTAGGATACAATGTACATAAATACACAATCTAAATATATATGATAAAATTTTAAAAGATAATAATAATAAAACACCATTGGAATTTATAAATTTAAATGTTTGAACTAAGATTCTAAATTTAAGGTAAAACAGTTTGAGTTTTGGGAATTAAGAATTTAATTGTTAATTAAAATTATTAAAATCTTGATCATTTTATAGAAATTTAAGTTTTAAAAGTGTTACATGGACCAAATATTATACCTCATTCACGACTTCATGGAAAGGCCGATGTACTGATATAATTATTTATATAGGCCCATGCATGTATTCTATGAAGACAAGAAACGTAAATTTCATGCTTTTCGAAGAAGATAAAAATAAACAGATGAAATAAAAATGTGAATACGACCAAGGGCAAACTTATTTTTGTATAATTCATGTAGTATTTATTGAAAATCAAAACTAATTGTTTAAGATTTTATGGAGGGAGTGAGGGTAGTGTTCGAAATGCAAACAATGGACCGAAATGTCTCGGTGTCGAATTGGTAAGGGCGTATTTGAAAATCAACAAGATGGCGATGAAAGCCAACAGTGGCTGTCAGCTATCATCCGCAACTATACTCGGCAATGCTGGTACCGTACATCCATGACTGTACCTGCTCACTAATATCAAAAACGGAATGTCAGAGCAAGATTTTCCGGATTGTTCAATGTATTAAACTATATATGTTGTTAATTAAGTATGGATTGTTTTTTTTTAATGAAAAATACGAAATGTGTTAATATGGAGGAAATAAAATTTCTGATTTTAAATAAATCTACTTTATGGAAGGCTGTAATCGCCAAAACGGTAACGATAACTGGTTTAGTGAATATATCGAGGAAAATATAATTAAGTAAACTTGACTATGCCTAAATCCTTGCATGGATCGCTATAATCTCTAAAAAGTAACATTTACTACAGCGTACATTTTGTATATCTATGACTGTATACCTGTGCCTGATATACAACATCTGCGACTGTACCTGTGCCGTACATACACATTACCATTGACTCAACCCGCGCTTGATTAATAACATCCACTACACGAAATTCTGTGGATCTTCTCCGATTTAGATTTAGACTGAATTCAATTAACGCTAATCTTTATACATGTATTACCCACGACAGTGATACCGAGACAAACGATGCCAGCAGTGATTTGGGAAGGATCCAAAACTTTTACAGATTTAAAATTAAAACTTTAAAACTTTATGTTCAGAGAACAATATGAGCCAGGTCTTTAATTTTGTGTGTGTGTGTGGGGGGGGGGGGGGGGGGGGGAGGGGGGGGCATGATTTCAATTTCCTACGTGCTCAATAATAATGATGAATTTTAAATGAAACTTGCTAGTATAATTATTGAAAATATACGAGTAAACAATAAACAAAGTAAAATAAAAAAGGAAATTAAAATAAATATTGGAATTAATTTGTAATCCTTAATTTTATGTTAGAAAGTATGAGTACGTCACAATATTTTTAATTTCACTCATTTCATTGATCATGCAAGTGGTGTCAATGAAAAACACAGGTTTTTTCCCATTAATATATGTCTTACGATATATAGGGGTGGAATGGGCTGATCCACGCGTTTTCAATGTGTTATATATAAACATCTCAAGTGCACCCCAGGAAGTAGCCTCCTATGCCCTGAAAGAGAATAGTTCCTGACAAAAAAAACCTTTATTCATTTACAAAGTACATAAAATTTACTAGGCACAGGTATCAAAGTTGTAAAAATAGGCTGGAAGACCCCCCCCCCCCCCAAAAAAAAAAAAGGAAAAAAATTCTCAAAAGAAATAAAAATTAATTTTATATGCATGGAACAATTAACATCTTGACTGGTCGATAACCGTGGTGTGATACCTGAAATATGCAGGGTATGGTATTAAAATAATTGATCATATTAAAAGAAATTACTGCTATGATTATCTATAACATCGATCCGAAGAAAATATTTGTATAAGTAAATATTTTTATTAGATCCACCTCTCTAAGATTCTGCAATCAATTGTCTGGAATCAATCTATAGGGAATATCGGTGAATAGCGTTAATAGCACCATTATTGAGTTCAGCTCATAGAAAATGGTAAGGAATTTCTTGGGATGCAACATCCACAACTGTACCTGTCCTGACAACTCTAGAAATTTTAATCCATGACTTTACCGGTGCCTGATTGACAACATCCACGACTGTACCTGTCCAGTACACACACTTTATTCTACATCCATGACTGTACCTGTGCTTATAAACAACATCCATGACTATACCTGTTCAGTACACACACTTTATTCTACATCCATGACTGTACCTGTGCCATATTAACAACATCCACGACTGTACCTGTCCAGTACACACACTTTATTCTACATCCATGACTGTACCTGTGCTTATAAACAATATCCACGACTGTACCTGTGCAGTATACACATCTTACTCTACATCCATGACTGTACCTGTGCTTATAAACAACATCCACGACTGTACCTGTCCAGTACACACACTTTATTCTACATCCATGACTGTACTTGGCCTTATAAACAACATCCACAA